AATCCTGTTATAGTTCCAAGATAATTCCGAAAAGAATACCGAGAAAATTAAAATCCAAATGGATTTTGAGGAAAATTTCAAGGGAGTACCGATAATTTATAGCTCATTCTGGGAATAATTTCTGGATAATACTGGGGAAATTCTTCTGAAACTCTAAGGGAATTTCAGTTCTAAGGTGTTCTGAGTAAAAGTCAATGAGAGTTCTAAAAATAATTCCGGAGGACTTCTGAGAAGAATTTTAAAAGAGCTCATAGAGTTCAAAAAAAAAACTTTTGGATTCTGTAATTGAAAAGTGGGTATTAGTTTGCCATTGAACCTTGGTCGATTGTTGTCTTACTAAAAAATCGTCTTCTCTGAAAATGTCAATGAACAGTGTGTTGGTTTGTTTCCTTTTAATTCCGTTATAATTGCTTATCTTTTGACAGATACGCATATTTCGTCTACTACTTGCAGACTTTATCAGTGCCAAGCACTTCATATCACTGATTAAGATTGGATTGATCAAGAGCGATATACTGTTTGTTCACTGCTATGAGGACTGTTTGAGCCTTGTACTTGTCGACGCAGTGTGCATACGAAAGGAGAATGCGATTCTTATTGGTCATTCATCTAGGTTTGTCGATGCTATCACCACCAACTGACGTGACTTCAGCTGAATTCAACCACCAAGGCAACAACATTGCAGCAAATGTATAATTTCGGATAAAGCCCTACTATCGCAACCATTTGACGAACCGATCATCATCGACATCGTCGATGGGATTAAATTGCCAATTTCCATTGGCTGTCTGAAAGCAGTTGCATTGAAGAAGATGAACCACCACCGGAGCAAAAAATAAGTAAAATGAGCTAAATTGAACAGTAGGGAAAAAGTGGGAGGAGGACAGCACCATCTACGACGTACTTAGGAGTACTTTCCATCCCCAGATTAAATGCACCAAAGAAAAAAAATGCCCCTCCTTAACAAGATTCCTGTGCACGCTAGTGTTCAATAAGGAAAATGGCAAAGGAACACGGGATCAGTGACTTTACGGCACGGGAGATTGTAAAGGAAGATTGCGGGGCGAAGTCGAGGGCACGAAAAAAAAAACTCACATGATTACCAACCGCATCCGGGAGCTACGAGACGAACGATGCAAGAAAATCTTGAACTTCCTTAAGCGAAAAAATCCGGTAATCCTGTTCACCGACGAGAGCATGTTTACCGTCGAACCCGTATCAAATTCCAGAACCGACCGCTATATTAGTTCTCTTCCGGTAAAAGACGTGGCCGACGAGCACAAGAACGTGTATCTGACCAAGCATCCTGCTAGCGTTATGGTGTTTGGATTGGTGGCTTCCGATGGCAAAAAAAAATGGACTCGGTGTTCATTCCAGAAGGCGACAAGGTCAACACGGAGGTCGTCGGGATTTTAAGTAAGTATGTTCTTCAGTGGATCAAAGAACAGTACGGTCCGAAGCCAAATGTTGTATTTCAACAAGATGGGGCTCCGTGCCACACCTCGAACCGCACTCAGAAGTTGTTGCAGGAACATCTTCCGTTCTGGGCGAAGGATATGTGGCCGCCACCCAGCCCCGATCTTAATCCGCTGGGTTACTCAATATGGCGCTTCATGAAGGCCAAGGCCTGTTCTAAACGCCACCCGAGTATAGCAAGCCTCAGACAAACATTGACCGGTACCTGGAGAGAAATGGATCCAGACTACATTATTAGAACCTGCCGTGCATTCAGGAAGCGTGTGGAGGCTGTGTGAAACTCAATCGATGATTAACATAGATGAAGACTCTGAGAAACATCCCCCCTTTGAATAAATAAAAACAAAAAACTTGAAAACGAAATTTTTGAGATTTTTTTTTAATTTTGACATTGCTTAATGGTGCAAACATTATCACGCATACGGTACATACGACTTTTTAAAATAGCTGTATCTATGTAAGATGAGCATGTTTCAAGCTGCATTTTATGTATTTGTCATTCAATGTGGGCTAAAATTCATAATGATGAATAAAATTGGGCTAGAATGTTATCAGAATACATACAGTAGTGCATGGACGGCAGCAACGAACACGATCATTTACAGGGGGTAAGTCACTCTGACACCTTGTGACTGTGCTGATTTTGTTTCTTGTGTGTTTTTGGGGTGTTTCAGATAGTTTGTGTGTCGAACAAGCTGTCAAAAGTCAAAACGTCAAGTGCAACATACAATGTTTACTGGCAACCATGATTTCCACAACGCTTAAAATGACAGATCCAGATTCACGACACCTACTGGACATTTTAGCGGAACTGTATACTTACGGATTGGCGAAATGGGCTTCAATCTTCATTCGGAGTTTTTCCTTGTGGCCACCACAAGATTCGCGCTTTTTTACGTGCTTTTAAAAACGGCTTAATACCATTTGTTCGCACAATATCCGCAAGATCCAGAATGCACAGGATCTCCCACTCTATGAAACTAAACTCATGTGGTAGATCCGCGGACCTCCCATACAAGCTTTCGAGAGATGGTCCACCAATGGCTGCCTTCTCTGCCACGTCCTGTGCCATCTCTCTGAATGTGTTGGAGACAACTACCCTAGTGAAGTACCCCTACTACTTCGTACGCCGCTGGACTCGTACGTGGTAGCTTCGACTGTCCCCCTGCGATGTCATAATCATGCACATCGACACACACAAACACAAAAATAGTTGTTACCAGATAAATAAATAAAGTTGGATCAGTTCTTGTTTACTTTTATTACGTTAACACGCGTTTTAACATTCCGGTTCCAATGTCACCGTTTTATTGTATCCCGCGATACTGTTCCGCTAGGCGGACATCGGCCACCCTGTAGGAACACGGGAATAAAAAAGTGGCGACTTCGGAATAATTTTAATGTGTTCTTCGTGCTAGAACCATAGAGATAACTCTAAGACCAGAAGGTCCTGAAGAAACCAGCTCAACTTTTTGGCTCAGCTCTAATACTATCTTCGGTCCCAAACTAATCGATTCACCCCTCGAAACATAGGAAAATCCAATAACCCCTCATTTTATCTGTCAAACTTTCATAGTGTAGTACTGGACTGGAATTTATACTAGAATGGGGTACGTTAATCGATTTGCTTGGGACCAATAGGCTAGTCAAGTAGTGAGCCAATTTAAAATCGTTAGTTTCGAATTGATTGTTGGTGGAACTCCTTGATGTGATTCGCAAGTGAGTCCAATATCGCCTCCGGATTCGGTGGCACCTGCACCCGTACGAAATTCTAGTACTACGCAATGTTTGTTTTGATTCGCTATGAAAGTTTGACAGATAAAATGAGGGGTTAGTGGATTTTCGAGGGATGAATCGATTAGCTTGGGACCGAAGAGAGTACCAGAGCTGAGTCAAAAAAATGAGCACGTTATTTCGGGACCTTGTGGTCTTAGAGTTACTTCTATAGTTCCACTTCGATCCGGATGGCAGCGTGACGATCGCTGCTTGGTACAAGCGGTATGAAGATTTGTTTGAGATTGATGCCAGCCGTCTTGACAAGGAGGCGAAAGTACGCTTGCTGATTCGTAGGCTACACAGAAAAAAAAAGTTGTTGAATATTACATCCAAACAGCTGCACAGAGGTCATTCCGCCGGTTGTGTAATATTGGTAATATTACGTTGTACGATGTACATTAGAGTGATGCAAAATTTGAAATTTTCGCTCCACAATACTTAAACGATTCCAAATCGGATCCTGACTAACCTCTCAAAATTTGAACCAATTTGGTGAGAAACTGAGATGGCACAAACCATTTGAAGTTTGTATAGGAATTACTATGGTAAAACCAAGATTTTTGTTCATGTTTATCTAATAATTCACCATATCGGTCTGCTTCAAAAACTTTCAACTGTACTTGTAGGCAATTTTCCCAGCCACAACTTTGCTGGAGACCACTTTTTGATTAAATGCAAGGATCGAAAGTTATCAATGGTTCAATGCGCTGATGTCTTATGATCATGCTCAATCAGCTGCTCAGCAGGCAACATTGGCATTTCTGGGGCATTGAATAGGACACACAAATCATGGCTACTATGTCACACTGCAAAATACAGTGTTGCCTACAGAGCTGCTGCTTGATCATGTCATAAGTTTACCAATCTCTTAAATAATTAATAACTTTTTCCTGTCTCGTTTTACATGGAAACGATCTTCAGCAAAGTTGTAGCTGAGAAAATTTTCTCTAAGAATGGCCATCGAACTGTTTCGCAGCTCAATTTGGAAAAACACTAGAAGACAATGAACAAAAAGTTGAGATTTCCCATAGTAATTTACATGTAAACTTCAAATGGCTTGTGCGAAGTCTGTTTCTATCCAAATGAGTTTTAACTTTGGGAGACTGACCAGGACCCAATTTGAAACCATTTAAGCACTGTGGAGCGAAAAAGTCAAATTTTGCATCAGTCTATTGACCACACACCCACGGAATCTGACTACACCAGCTCATAGAACAAACATTGCTCTGTCAGGTGATTTAGTTAGTTTGAGGGGGGGTGTTGTCATTCGTAGGAACCGATCCCAGTCATTGCTTACGTTTTAAGTTAGACCCTTCTGACATGTTTTCCCTGAATTACTCAAAATAGAGGTTTCCGTAGCAGAGTTGCCAGTCTCCTTGATTTGCTGTTTAGTCAACGCTCTGGGCACGATGTACTTCCAAAGTCCTTCTTGTTTCAGCTACATTTGGTTCCATCTTTTTCATGAAAATGTTCCCTTTGTCCAGCAGAGCCCCGCTGACGTAGTAAAATCAGAAAAATCCCTGAACATTAATTCATTCGTTTCCCCTCATCATAAGGTATAATAGGTAAGAAGAAAAGCAAAAACATATGTCTAGCAGATCCAGTCGGAGTGAACAGAGGTTAGTCGAATGACAAAATACCAACAGCATATTATTTGTTCCATAAATAAGTTTCCGTTTTATTTAAGAATGTATCCTTCGATTCATTGCTTGTACAGTTGGAAAAACTTAAACCTAGTAAAAACTTACATTGGACTTCTGCAAACTGCACCCTGCTCGCATTCGAATAGCTACCACGACCACCACCTCTTCCTTCTCCTCCATCGTTAGCATCTTCGTCTCCATGGATCATCATCTTCGGGTTGCTGCCGTTAGGGTTCGCACCATGTTGTTGATGTTCTTGCCCTCCCGGCGGATAGTGATGGAGGTGACCATTGTTGTTGCTGTTGCTGCTGCTGCTGTTGATATTGTTGTAATTCGAACCGTGGTGGAGCTGATGGTGGTGATGGTTGGTGTTGTTGTTGTAGTGAAGGTGATAGTTATTCACCTTCCGGAACGGATTCGGCTGTCATGAGCAAACCACCTCGGTAGCGGTCTGTGGCGGCTGTTGCGGTCCGGGATTTGCGGTTGGCGTCGTAGTCGTCGGAGTCTGGGGAGTTGTCTGTGATTGACCGCCACCACCGCCGGCGCTGGTCGCTTCGGACGAGGAATCATCCAGCACCAGCGTCGCATTGGTCGACGTCACGCTATCGTTATGGTTCGTGTGGTTGTAGTCCGTGGTGGGGGCTAGTTCGGCTTCTGCAGTAACATCGTCAGGAGCCGCAGTGCTGCTAGTGTTGTTGTTGTTGTTGTTAGTGCTTACGTTACTATTACCGTTGTTGTTACTAGTGTTCAGAGACGCTACCGAGGTGTTGGAGATGTTCGCTGCTGACACCGGACCCGTTCCTTGCGAGGATTGCGACGAGGACGACGACTGCGAGGACGTATTCGACGGGGAGTGCTCAAACTGAAATGAGATGTGTAACACGAGCGGTGCAAGAGAAAGAGAAATGGGGAGAAAGAGAAAGGGACAAAAAAGAGAAAAACCACACAGATTTTGTGAATAAACACAAAACGGCGAAATGGGTTAGTTGAGTTCTGGCTGTAAAACTTTTCGAGGACATGTTCGACTTAGAATGTGGTGAGAAAGCTTTCGCCGCCGAAACGTCGGAAATAATAGGAAGAAATTAACATACATCGAATAATATGGAAACAAGAAGAGTAGAACAACCAAATAGGAAATAAGAGAACAGAGAGCTTATACGAGGGACTACGAATCACTCACGGAATCGTTCCTTCCTTTCTTGTTGAGGGTGGTCGTCTGAAGATGTTCAGATGATTGACGCTTCCGGAGGGTGGTGCCACCGCCGGTGGCTCCACCACTGGTATTAGCCGCGGCCGCAACAGCCGCTATGCTGGATATCGAAAGTCCCGAGTCGGAATTTTTACGTTCCCGCTTGAGCAGGTTCGGGTCCAGATACTGGCTCAGTTGCTTCCGCCGAACGTGTCGCGCTTCGATCTTCATACCGTCCTTCAGCAGCTTGATGTGCACCTGCAAGTGGAGGTGAAAGGTGGCATAAGTTGCAGTTCTTCGCATTCACAAAGCTCTAGGTGTAAAGAGGGGCTTAGTGAAAAGCTATGGCCCTCCTAAACCTAAACATGACCCGTCTTCGGAGAGAATTTTATTTTATTTGAATAACAAAAAAGAAGCTACTTACAGCATGTTTGTGCACGGAGTCGGTAAAACTCTGTATGCTCTCCGTCAGATCCACGTTCAGATTTTCCGACCGCTCAAACTCCAACCCGATGAACCAAAGCGAGCAAAGGGTGGGAGCCTTGCCACCGTCGTTCTCCCGCTGTCGTTCGGACTGGTTCTGTTCGTGCTGCTCGAAGCACTTTGGGTTGACGTGGGCCAAATTGATGTGCTGGTTCCGTTCCAGGTTCAGAATCAGATAGCGAATTTTGGACTCGACTAAACCGCACCATTCCAGGTGATCGTCGGCATTGTTGGAGGTCACCAGCAGAACGATAAAGTGCCGATACTTGAAGAAGAAACTCGGTGCCTCAAACAGCTTATCCCAGCCGGCCTTGCTGAGCATGATTTCATCGGTGATTTGCATACCGCGATTAAACTCATTCAGCATGACCTTCCGCGTCGAACTGGACACGTTGAAGGTGGAATTCTGCTGCGGATATGCCGGTGTGATAATCGGCATTAGGTGGAAGCGGTCCTGAACGTTTACTCTGGGATCCCATACCGGGAAGCCCAGATTGACTGTGTCCGGCTGCTTCAACAGCACCGGCTGGGGCCACTTCCAGCGGGAGAATACCAGGAAAAACTTGTGCACCAACGTAGCAGCCACTGCATTCGGATATAGCTGACAGGTTCTAGCAACCAGCATAGCCCACGATACACCACCAAAGTATCCCAGAGAGTTCGAATAGATGCCGTGCTCTGCGAAGGAAAAGAGAAAACAACATTTAAAATCCGAACTTCCGCTATCAATCCAAAACACAAACTCACTCTTAGCCCACAGCTTGATCGCCCGTAGTGCCAGTCGGAAGTTGTCGATATTCGGAACCAGCCGCAGTATCTCATCTGTCACCCGGCAACCGTTCAGACTTCGCACCGACTTAGCGTCCAAATTCTTCAGCAGTTTATCGTCCCGCAGATCGAAGTTGTCCGGAATCTCCTTCAGAGCCAACCGGGCAAACAGCAAATCGATTTCGATTCCATCAAAATTCATCTTTATTACAGGTACAAAAGCCTCCTCCACGGCTCGACATTCCGTCACTTCCGGTTGCTTCTTGAGCAACTCGAAAAACGATCCAAAATAATCCGACCGTTCGATATTTCGCGGGGCCACGCACAGGGCGTCTATATCCGCACCCTTGTGGTGCACCCCCAGCCGATACGAACCGAATGTGTAGATTTTGCCGCCCAGCTTCTCCGCCAGGGCTTCGGGCATATTCTTCGAGATCGAAACATCCCGCACCCACAGCTTGACCAGTGTGTTCAACTTGGCCAGAATTTCCATCCGGTGATTAAGCTCGGATTCCTCCTCGAACACATTGTACGGTTCGAGTGCCTTGCCCAGTTCCCCCGTCTTCTGAATGTCTTCCGGTTTCGGTTCCGCCAAACTGATGGCCGAAGTCATTCCAAGCGTTTTGGTATTGGACTGGTTCGTACTGGAAGAAGATCCGCCGCCGCCGCCACGACCTCCTCCTCCTCCTCCTCCTCCTCCTCCACCGCCGTTACTGGAACTCCACATATTGTTGAACGAACTATTCCGAAAGATCCGAGTCGGATACGTTGACCGGCCACTTGCTCCCGGTATTGGTGCTGCTAGTGTACGTTTGGATAACGGTGGTGCTGCTGCTGCATCGGCATTAGCTGTAGAATGAACAACGGTCATGGTAATTAGACTATACACTAATGAGTCACTATTCGTTTGCGTTTGGTTTGGGAAACGTTGAAGAGCACAGGGTTAGGGGTTCTGTTTCGTGTAACGTTCTAAATAAACTGATTGTTTTCGATTCTAACGATTCTATATAGGTACCTCCATGGCTTTTAGGTAAGCAAACGGGGTATATTCGGCACAGAGAATGACGCATACTGCCTGCTCCTGTTTGGTAGATACGGCTACCGAACGGGTATGTTTTTCAGTATGGCAAGTTATCAGCTTTTTTTTTTAAATATTGTATGATGGATTACGGGTAAAGAATTATGTTGGTATGCGAAAATGAACCAAATGCAGGCAAATTTAATGATTCACTGGTTACATGATTCAGTGATTGACGCAACAACCCAAAACATTAGCTTTATTCAATGGCCCAACTCTCGTACTCGCTCGTAGTTGATTGTCGTGAGTGGGACCCTTGCTTAAATGATATACTAATGCTGGGTTTAGACTAGGCAAGTCATTTGATCAACTCAGTTGGCTTGAAAAGTTGAGCCTGGTTCAACTTTTTTCAATTCAAGTGAATTGATGAAATCAGTTGAATGGCATGGTTTACACGTTCAATTCGCGTTGAAGTCAGTTGAATAAAACTGACTTGATCAATTGACTGGCCCTGTCTAAACCCAGCTTAATGATCCATTCCAGCGAGCATTTAGCCGCACTGCACGTACAATGCTACCTATTTTCATATATAAAGAACTTATTATCGGTTGCTGGCATTATTTCTGTGGATACTTAACACTACAATTTCACTAATAAATTATTTTTGTTTACATCCATATGAGCGGTAAATGGAGACTAGGATGGGGCTTTTTTTTAATAATCGATCCAGATCGAACCCGTGACTTGGAGCTTATTGACGTACATTGTCGATCCATCTTGGTCGCTTCAGACAAAGCAGGCCCTTTCGAGGGGGCCTCATAGCCAAGTCAGTAAAGGCACGGTATTACCAAGCCGGAGGCGGCGGGTTCGATTCCCGGTCCGGTCGAGGGAATCTTTCGGGTTGGAAATTTTCTCGACTTCCCTGGGCATAGAGTGTCATTGTGCTTGCCACACAATATACAAATTCATGCATTGGTAATTGGCATCGAAAGCTCTCAATTAATAACTGTGGAAGTGCATTTAGAACACTAAGTTGAGAGCACGCAATAAGCTAATATGCGCTAAGCAATAAGCTTGAAATGCGAATACAGGGCTGGTAGCGATCAATGCTGTCAAAAATAGTGATTTTAGTGACCATGTTGAAGAAATAAGCGACCAAATAGTGACTTATAGTTGCAAAAAAAGTGACTAAAAAGTGACCTAAGGGTAGAAAATTAGTCGTTCTGATGGCATACAAAATATGTAAATGTTTGATGTTTTAGACTTATTCAATTAGATTCTCATAAACACCTAAATATAAAAGATAGGAACCTTTAAAACGAAATATTCAATAGAAAGTTTATGACTAAACCTTCAAGCTTGTACTACCTGGAAAAAACATGAAAAACCGGGAATTCTCAGGGAATTTTCTTTTTCCTGAAAATGGTGGTGCAGGTGCAAGGGAAGTCTCAGGGAATCTTATCATTATTCAGGAAAAAAAATTATTTTATTACTAAGAATGCATTTAAAAATAAAAAAACATTTAATATTCCTAGTTATTTTCATTCACACACTGAACTTAATAGACCCAAAATGGATTAACCTTCAGTAACAAATATATTTTTTAAATTCAGAGGCTTCAAACCATTTATTTTTTTTTTTTTCCGTTCAAGAATATGCATATTTTCTACAATTTTTATAAATCCTGAACTGAAAAGTTATAATACTTCAAAAAAATTTCAAGAATCTGGAGTCAAATGCCTTGCAAGGACCTCATTCCTCGAGTGTTCTGGAAAAAAATATTTGAGAAAAACATCAACTGCAATTTGTTTTCATGGTACTTCTGAGGAATTTTAGACTTAATGTGAAGCCTAATCCTAAGATAGTAAACTTCAAGTGAATTTTCATGAGAAATCTCCGTCGAATATGGAATAGACTATTCTGAGGTCTTCAGAACTACTGGAAAGTTCCCAAAATATTCCTGTAGCTAATTAAATTTCCTTGAAGTTCTTTTGTAGTTTGAGGAACTAGCCTGATGCTCAACATACTTCTCATCATTTTTTAAACTTCTCTAAAATTTTTCGGGCTTCCTAAACTTTCCACAATTTTCCTAATGATCATGAATCTTCTCTAAAGTGTTGAAAAATTCACTGAATTTCTCGAAACTTATTTAAAATTTATGTAACTTCCCTGCTCTGAAGATATCTATTCTTTCTTGATTTTTTGTCAATCAATATCTTTCTCGAAGTTCTCGAAACTTCTCTTAAGTGTTGTTCTAATGAAGCTTGTTGTACTACCATGAATTTAATTGTACTGTTCTAAGAATGTTTAAGCTTGCGTGAACTTCTGGACTTATATGAAAACCTCAATAATTTTCTTAACATCTCTTAAGTTCTCTGAAAATTTGGGAACTTCTTGAAATTTCCCGCTAATTTAGTGAAACTAATGAAACTGAACTCCCCTGAAATTCCATTCGTTTTTGGAGCTTTACTAAACTTATTTGAGATGCTCTAGAAATGTCCATGAAAGTTCCTGAAGTTCTCGGATCGTCCTCTAAGTTCCATAGACTTTTATGAAGTCCTCGAAATGTTTCTGAAGATCAGAACTTTTGTGAAGTTTTCGAAGTTATTCTGAAATTTCAGGACCTTCTTTAAGCTTCCGCAGCGAAATAAATAATATAGTTCAATGATTTTCACTGAAGTTCGCAAGGTTTGTCTGAAGTTAAAATTATCGAAACTAATTCATAACTTTTTCAATAGTCTAGAGTCTCCTGATGTTTTAAAACTGCCCAAAATATTTCTCGATTTCCTTAAAATTCTCTAGACTCCCCTGAATATCTTGGATTTTTTTTAAACTCTCCATTTTACTGGAATTGATTTAATTGCCTTTATGTTCTACAATCTTCCTTAAGTTTTATAAAGTTAAAAAACGCTTACGGAACTTTGCCTTAAATCACTAATTTTCCCTGAAAAGCCTGGAAATCCCAGAGGTTTTCTATGCTTACCTTAATTTCTCTAAATTAATCAAATGTTCCGGTAAATTTTCTGATATATATTTATAATTCCCTGAAGCTTCTAAAGTTTTCGGATCATCAAAGAATTCTCGGAATATCCCATAGTTCTAAGAAACTCCTTGTAAGTCGCTGCAAATTTCCTTAAGTTAATGTGATTTTTCTTATGTTATCTTATCTGATCGTCCTCGAAGTACTCGGAATTTCACAACAAATCTAAAAATATCTAAATTTCTTAGAAGTTCTCTGGAATTTCTTGAAAATATCGGTGCTTGCTAAAACTGAACTCCCCTGAAATTCCCTTCGTTTTTGGAGCTTTACTAAACTTATTTGAGATGCTCCAGAAATGTCCATTAAAGTTCCTGAAGTTCTCGGATCTTCCCCTAAGTTCCATAGACTTTTATGAAGTTCTCGAAATGTTTCTGAAGATCAGAACTTCTGTAAAGTTTTCGAAGTAATTCTGAAATTTCAGGAACTTCTTAAAGCTTCCACAGCGAAATAATTAATATAGTTCAGTGATTTTCACTGAAATTTGCAAGGTTTGTCTGAAGTTAAAATTATCGAAACTAATTCATAACTTTTTCATAAGTCTTGAGTTTTCTGATGTTTTAAATCTGCCCAAAATATTTCTCGATTTCCTTAAAATTCTCTAGACTGCCCTGAAAATCTTAGATTTTTTTTAAACTCTCCATTTTACTGGAATTGATTTAATTGCCTTTAAGTTCTACAATCTTCCTGAAGTTTTATAAAGTCAAAAAACGCTTACGGAACTTTGCCTTAAATCACAATTTTTCCCTGAAAAGCCTGGAAATCCCAGAAGTTTTTTATGCTTAGCTTAATTTCTCTAAATTAATCAAATGTTCCGGTAAATTTTCTGATATATATTTTTAATTCCCTGAAGCTTCTAAAGTTTTCGGATTATCAAAGAATTCTCGGAATATCCCATAGTTCTAAGAAGCTCCTTGTAAGTCGCTGCAAATTTCCTTAAGTTAATGTGATTTTTCTTATGTTATCTGATCGTCCTCGAAGTACTCGGGATTTCACAACAAATCTAAAAATATCTAAATTTTTTAGAAGTTCTCTTAAATTTCTTGAAAACATCGGTGCTTGCTAAAAGTTCTAGTTTTTTTTAATTAACGGAACTTCGTTGATGTTATCTAATCAACTTAGCTAAATTTTCAATTTTTTTTAAATCTTCTAATTTCCATGATATAACACCCTTGAAATACTCTCACATTTTCCGGATTTTTTGGAAACTTCGGTTTGCTCAGAGAAAATTTGTGGAACGCAATAATTCCACAAATTTTCTCTGAGCAAACCGAAGTTTCCAAAAATTCCGGTTTCTGCCATTTCCTTGAAATTTTTTGAACTTCCCTTTAATTCTCTGATCTGTCTTGATGTTCTCGAAGCTTCCCTAAAACGCTCAACTCTAATGAAGATCTCGGTTCTGTCTTTAAATAAATGGATTTCTCGTGAACACCTTTAAACTTCCCTTGAATTCTCTGGATTTCTGTGAAGTTCCTGAAATATTTCTGACGTTTTCATAAATTTTCTGAAAGTCTCTGCACTAAATCTTTCGGAACATCTTATGGGTTCTTGATTTTATTTCAGCACATCATTTGTGTTAACTCACGCTTATATGTTTTTAAACCAATTCTGGGCTAAAGTTTCGGGGACTTCCCCTTAAGATCTCTAGATCTAACTTTTTTGAGATCAATACAACTTCAATCTGGAATCTTTACATTTTTGTTGGTACGAAACGTCAAGACATTAAAAATGTTGTAATCTTAGACTTACTAAATTTAAGTAAGTGTTCAACTTCAACATTTAATGGATTTGATA